AAAAAAAATATATTTATATCAAATAAGGCAAGAACAAAAAGAAGAAGAAAGAAAAAGCCTTTTGTGATAACTGTTAATATTTTTTTAATTAAAATTTTTGTTTTCTTATTACCAAAGAGATAGATGGGTGCTATTTAAAACAGTGAACAAATTTGTCAGTTGTTATTTAAAAAAATTAAAAACGACTTCGCAACTCAAGACGTTACTATAATGTCAAAATATAGTTTATAAAAAATAAAATCGATCTATTCGAGAATTTTTTTGAAAAAACTAGACCCACTTAAAAATTGTTTGTAGCTACGGGCCTGATTTTTGGTTCTTATAATGTTAATTCTTTATTGCACTAAAACATTACATAAAGTCATGCCAGGAAGGAAATACGGAGGTAGAGAATGATGAGATAATAAGGTTTCTTGAAGACATACAATACAAAGGAACTTAATAATTTTACTTTCACCAAGGATATACAAATACATACCTTCCTCTCTTGATTATCTTTATAACATTTTAACTTAATTTCTCTTAAGATATCGTGCATTCTTTTGTGTTTAAGTTTTTTCATCTATTTCATCGAGTTGAGTCTTGGGATAAAAATAATTTTTACATTTTACACTCATTGTTAAACAATTTTGTGTCAAAGGGATTGTTTGTAAAGCACTTACCTTTGGTATTGTGTTCCCAACAGGTGCGGAAATCATTGCGGAGAGGAGAACAGACGTATTGTTAGTTGGGTTAGACTGACGTATTATGCAAATTTGTAATACCTACATGCCATTACAGAAAATTACTGAAGCTTTTAATTTTTCTGAAAGTAATGTTTTTATGAAAATTTTTATTCGGTAAAACAACACAGAATTTAACCGTTTTAAAATTTACGATGATTACAGTAGAATAAAAATGCTTGTGGTGAAACAAACTCGTATTTGCTTAAAACTTTTACTGTTTTTGTTCTGAAATATCATGCAGTTAAACTCATACAATTTTAAGTTCAGTGCAAAAATTATCTGTTAAAATTTATTACCAACTGAGTTCTGATTGGTAATTTGCAACTGCACTATCTAACTTTACTTTGGTACTTTGCAACACAAGCATCTATGGCTATCTCTTGGTTTAATCTAACTACAAAGTTGTAGTTCCTATTTGTCTAAATGAAAGTGTAATTAAACCTTGTCGTGTTAATTTGAAATGGAGGTAAAATCTGCCTTTCTTTAAATGGAAAAACCAACCAAAAAAATGGTAGCAGCTTGTTTTCATAGCCATACATTTTGTTTACTTTTCGTTTTTGTCCCTAGAAATTTTGTTAAAAAAATATGGTTTTGTTTTATTGTCAAAATTTTGACTTTTATGAATCTGTGAAAGGGCTATAATTGAATACCTGAGGACCGACATCATTACCTAAAGTTTAAAGACAGAATGCTAATAATTTTCATAGAAAGTACAATGTTGTGGACAAAAATGAGGTTCTTGCTACAAAAACTTTAAAGAAAAAGAATGTATACCTATACAGAAAAAAGTTATTTAGCAAAAGATTCAAGTAGGTTTTTTTTCAAAAAAATTATCGAATAGGTCGATTTTATTTTTTAAAAACTATATTTTGACATTATAGTGACATTGATGACGTCTTGAGTTGCGACGTCGTTTTTAATTTTCTTTAATGACAACTGTCATTTTTGTTCACTGTTTTAAATAACACCCAACTATTTCTTTGGTAATAAGAAAAAAAAATTGATAAAAAAATATTGACAGTTAAACACAAAAGGCTATATCTTTTTGTTCTTGCCTTATTTTATATAAGTATATTTTTTTAAATGTTATAATTAGCATGGAAATACTTAATATGAAACCTAAACACAAAAAAATAAAAACAAAAAA